GCTTGTCGGCAACAACCGCTCTCCAACCCCTCTCGACGGGGGTGTTTTCATCGGTCGACTGCTACGGACAGTTTCCTCGGGCTTCTTCGACAACTCCGCTATCCGTTTCACGTTGTGTTTGAGTTTCGTTATCTATCGACAGGTCAAATAACTAGCACGATCGCGATGGACCACAGGAAATGGCCACTTGTTTCTGATGTGTCTATGTTTTTCACTTCTGACACGTTTCTAAGTCTGACAAAGGGTGATTTCATTCATACAATAATTAAGGGTTGTTTACCCTTTCGTGGATGTCTGAGATTTTACATAGATGCTTAAAAGATGTCATTTTGCCCTCAAAGGGTGGAAAGAAAGGGTGGGAATTGCACTTATTTTTAGAAGAAAAGATTTCTTCAGAGAATTTGAAGTCGATGATAGTTTTTAATTAGCAAAATTACAAAAATTTAAGAATTAGTAAATTAATTTAATCATTAATCATTTTTGTAATTAGTAAAATTACAAAAGTTTAGCAATTAGTAATTTTTTAAATTAGTAAAATTGCAAAAGTTTGATAATTAGTCATTTTGGTAATTACTAAAATTACAAAAAATTAAAATTAGTAATTTTTTTAATTAATAAAATTACAAAAATTTAATAGTTAGTAATTTTTTTAATTAATAAAATTACAAAAATTTAATAGTTAGTAAATTGTTTTAGTAATTAACAGTTCTTGTAATTAATAAAATTACAAAAGTTTAATGATTAGTAAATTAATTTAGTAATTACTTGGTTTTATTTTTAGTAAAATTACAAATTAGTTGAATTAATACGATCAGTGGTATCGAAATTTCTTCGGTAGCAGTGAAACACGATTTGCTTACCCGCGAATAAAAAAGGAAAGGAAAGGAATTATCGAAAATTCCAGTGATCCGGAGTTAACGAGTACATAGGCATGATGGACGAGTATCGGAAGCAGACGAGTCGAAAAATAAATTCAGCCCCGGGGAACGTGATCAGGCGTCGCAGCAAACCGGAAAGTATTAACGCGACAATAACAGGCCGCAACGCGGCGGAAAAACGAGTCGTCGATCGTTTTAAATAATCTCAAATCGGCCAAAACCCGACGGGAATCCGTTTTTACCAGCACGAAACGAATCGATGGCGTATCAGCTCGGATAGCTGGAAAATTCCTCCTCCAAATTTTATTGAGGATTAAGATAATTATGGGACGAAGGGTTAAGGATTAAATCTTAAATACGATTTTCACCCTTTTTCATAGAATAACTAATTACTAAGGGAACGAGGATTACTTATATTTGATTGAAACGATGAATTATTGAACCATAAATAAAGCCACAATTCTAATTTAATTTTGTACTTCATATTATTTTAATTTCCTAAATTTTCTAAAGTTTAAAAATTATATATTTGACTTTAGGTTAATATCCTTAAATATATTTTGCAATTTTGGGTCGCGATTGACTCAAATTAAATTAAAAATCTATTATTTCTCTATTAAATCTCTATTTCTTAGACTCTAAGTGGAACTTAGGTTCTTGGACTTTAATACCTAATTCTGCACCCAGTAGAAATAAAGGCTCGTTATCGATGACACCAGAGGTAACCATCGAATCCCCGGAATTTTCCAGCAATTTAAATGCCAGACGGCTGTGTCGGGAATGAACAAAATTCGAGGGATAAAAAGTGGAAGAAGGGAACAAAATGTAACTAGCTTTTACCAACCAAAAAATAAAAAAGATGAAAACTGTCTGTTATAAAATTTCTCATTCGAAGCTGATTTTAGTTAATCTTCCTTCTTTGATAAATTAATAATTGAACATTTTTTAATCCTGAACAAATAAAGGTTCGTCTGTGTATTAAGCTCGATATTTTCACCTTTAATTATGGAAATTTTCGATTGAAAAGGTGGTTATTATTATACCCGATTACATTTGCGAAACAAAAAGCAAGGCATCGACATTTTCACAAAATTAAATCCTCGTTTCAATGGCCTGTTCGAGAGCCGGCACGTCGAGCTTCGTTTAACAAGAACGAAATCGATAGAGATAGATGTAGACGAAGTGAGAACAATAGAAGAAAACAAATAAATACAAGCAAAAAGAAACGCGGGAATACAATAGCGTTCGATTTTATTGGCTCCTCTCTTGCCTATGTGTTACGTGCTCACATCATTTCCCGACCTTACACTCCGGGGAATCGTGCACGCTTTTCCACCCCCGTGTTTCATACAGGGTGTCTACGTTACATAAACAAACCACCTATGTGTCGTTTAAATCGTATTTATCAATAATCTGTCTTCTTTTCTTTATTGAGAAAATAATCTCTATTTTCTCTTATTTTTCAGTAAATCGGATTTACTTTTGGTTATTTTTTAATACCTACATCCTACTCACAAATAATCTGCTTTAAAAAATTTATTTGATTTTAAACTTCTTTTACAATTTTGCAAATAATTGACAGCTTAAAGTAAAATTTTATTCCTAAGGGTCAAGTGTACTTAATGAATATTTTTTAAATTAATATATTAAAATTAAATATAATCAAATTGAATTATTCAATTATAATTGAATAATACTTGATTTTATTTTTCTGAATAAAAATATCAAAATTTTCGCTAAAAAAATTAATGAATAATTCATTTAAGTTTTAATTGAAGGTTTAGTTTTAAAAAGCCACAATAACATCGATTATTAAAATGAAAAAATAGTAATTAAGAAAGTGTAATGCTAAAGGTAGCAAATTAATTTCTACACCTAATTAAATTAGATATTACCCTAATTAAAAATCATTTTTATGAATCCTTACTAACAATAAGATTCGAAATACGAATAATTAATATAATGGCAAAATTAATCTCGCTTATTTGAAAATTCAAATACTCCATGGATTCTCATTATTTTCAAAATATTCCATGTACACTGGATATATCCTTTATCATGTTCGATCTGGAGGGTGGAAAGAAGATTGTAGGGGAGGTTGGGCGAGTAGTAAGAGCCAGGAAACTGTGAGTTTAAATTTGCACTTGGCACCTGATCGGCTGACGTAGCAGGCGAACAGGAACCATGGGGTGGAAAAGGGTGAAAAGGGGTGCATGCAGGAAGCCGTATAATTCGCTCGATTATTTAATAGGTTGGCCTGGCGCCTAGCTACAACATTGAGCAGTCTGGCCTCGACATTCTCCACTTGCGATCTATATTAAACCTTCCATGGTAAATTGCTCGTTAGTCGATTAACCAGCGACCAGATGTCTTAATTAACAAACACGAAAAGAGAATTTTTATCGTAGGAAAATTTCATTCCATTTAGAATTTTTATTTTAATATAATTAAAATGAGATAATATTACATCGATCGATAGAGATCTATGGGAGTACATATATTGCAAATCTCATGGGGGTAAGTGAAATTATAGGGTAGCTTATTGCTCACCATGAGAGGGATCATGACACGTGATTTAGATCATGATGTCAGAGATTATGGAGTGATACTGGTCATTTCGCGACAAATCACATTATAATCCAGATCATGGGATTACCTGATATCTCATGGTGTAATCCATCGTGTCATGGTGCATTATTATGCATAGTATACTGCGATTTAGGTCGTGCAACGAGAAATTGCATATAGATTGAAATTTTCCTTTCATAATTGCTTGATTATTTTAAATCACATAAAAATATGGATTAATCGTTGAAAGGGTTGAGACAAGCTGTTTTTGTTATGTTTCTTGACTTATGGGGATATAGCTATTAGATGGTTTCAAGAAAACAATTTCTTTTTACTTTTTTTTTTAATTGGAGGCGTATAGAATGCCATGTCTAAGGGAAATTTCTAAATTTAAATTTTTGGCAAAATTATAGTACTTTAGGCTTTTTTTTCAAATAGCTATATCCAATTTCCTTCAAATTTTCAGGAAATAGTCTCTATAAGTTATTGTCTAATGTAGCGTAGGAGTTTTTCAAAATTCCAATTAATTAACTTTTTAATTAAATTTTTAAGTAAAAATAGATTTTTCGTCTTCAAAGTGTCGCCATTTCTATAATTACCAACATTTTTTAAAAATCCTACGCTACATTCTGAGTAATACATTTTTATCTGTAAATCAAACAGAATTTTTCATGTTAGGTTTAATATAATAATTCAATTTACTATAATTTTTCATCTTAGGTTACATAGTTTCAGGGTTAACGAATATATTATATATAATTCTGCCATTTTGCAATATTTCTAATTCAAAAAATTAGAGAACAACGTCAAAAGATTTTCACTTAGCCATTATTTATAAGAAAAATTTCACAAAAAGGTCGACTTTTCGACACTGTCTGCCAAGTGCACCCCTTTAAAATTCTTTAAACATTAATTAAAATGTAGGTAAAGAAATAAGATTATTAAAATAAAAGCTGATAATAAAGGAAAATAAATCAATTTCTACGATAAAATACCTTAACATCAAAAGTTCTTTTGTGATAAGAGAGTTAGTTAAGTCCAGTTTACGCTGGACGGAAGAAGTCAATCGCGAAATCCTCGTATACATTCTAGTACCGTGTTGGGTGAAGGGTTGGACGTTTGTTCGTAGGACCCTTCAAGGGACGGCTGTTGATGTGGTATTTGCGCAGGTGTACGAAACAACGAACGGCTACCGTTGTTCGAAGTAGTTAGCTGTTACATTGTTAGGCAGTTGGATAACTTGAGACGCGGCACCGAGTGTGTCTAGCGTGCTTATGGGGTAAATCGTGGCCCGATAGGGTGACGGGTGTCGGGACCGAGAAAGGGGTTGCTCTACCTTATCGCGATGAAACGAAAAAAAGGCTTTATATTTTTATCAAACATAATGCAGAATTTTAAAGACCTCGCACTGGAATTAGTTTTTCGACGACGTATACATTAATTTAGGTGTTAATTTGGTGTTGAAAAATCTGAAGGAAATTAATTTGAAAAATTTCCTTTCGCATGAGTTTCTATTTAAATTATAAGTTTTGTTATGTTTTTTTATTCTTTTAGTTGCAGGAAACGGCGAAATCGAGGATTTGGATCCTGACGTTCAGGATTACAGCACCGACGAAGACTATAACGATGTTTTTGACGCAACTACTAATGGGTATGTTAATAAATATTACTTTCTTTAATTTTTCACACGTAGATATAGTAAATCTTCAAATTTTCATCTTTTGATTATTTACAAAATATCACAAGTCCGAATATGTAATATAAAATTTTCCTATTCTTGTTTCCTTCTCAACTTTCGGATGGCGGACCATGGAGAGAGTCCCAATTTTAATATAATATATTTTGTAATTTTCTGTCTCGATTGATTCAAATTTTGCTATTCAAGGGTTAAGATAAATTTTTAAGATAAATTAAAATTTTTAATTACACTATAAAATCAAATTTACCAACCATAAAATTATTACCATCACACCATGATAATAAAATCCAAGATAGTTATTTGAAAAACACCCTGCATCTTTGACAGAAGATCGTATATTTCAATCATTTTTATCGGTCGAAATCGATGAGAATCGGATGAGAAACGGGGAAGAGTAAAATTTTCTATCGGAGATGTAGGTGAAATTAAAAAAGGGAGGAGAATAGGGGGAATGGGTGGTTGAAGGATTTCATGGGTTTGGTACGATGGAAAAGCAAGAGCCGGGGAATGCCGCAGGGCTTAATAAGGAAACGGCTCGATTGGTTCGATTCGAAAGGTAATAATGCCACTTCCCGTGTGTCGTGGAACTGGGTGAGATGTGGCCGTGATTAAATTTGAATTCTCTCCTTCCTTCTGACAGGCTAATTCAACCAGGAAGCGTCGATAGGGCCAATCGGAATTCCGAACGAATCGGATCCTCATCTTGGATTTCGCTTACGCGTTTCCTTCGTCGAATCTGAGATTTTCGGGGTGGAACAATTTTCCCAGCAACGTCGCAGATATTTTCTAATTCAATGTTTAAGAATAAAGAGTAGTTTCTGTTTATCTAATTATTTTTTATATCATTTTTTGCTTTTTGTTCCAACGAATAATTGATCACTTTGGAATTAAAATATTGATGACACTTTATATAGTATTTGGAGTTTTGGGATTTTAGTATTTAAAAATTTTGGAATTTTGGATCCTTAGAATTTTAGAATCTTAGAACCTTAGAATCTTAGGATCTTAGAATCTTAGAATTTTAGAATTTTAGAATCTTAGAATTTTAGAACCTTAGAATTTTAGAATCTTAAAATCTTAGAATCCTAGAATCATAGAATCTTAGAATATTCAAATTTTTAAATTAAAAAATTTTTGAATTTTTGATTTCTCAACAACAGAAACACTTAAGGCTAAACTCATCATCTCGTATGACAGATCATTTGAATATTCACGGTGAAATAAATTTATTCAAACAATGCTTGGATCGAGGAAGAATTGATCCCGCAAGATTCACCGAGGGCTAAAGTCTGTGTCGCTACAACGTCTAGCAGAATCTCTGTCAGTTTCTCCCTCGACATCCCTTGCAGAAGGGGTTCCAGAGAATCGGTGCATCAATATTAATGGAGCCACGTGGCGTTCAGGAATAATGTAGTTGCCTGAAAGTCGTCGACCCGTGTACGCACGATATCGTAACCATAATGCCCCCGTTACGATCGGTTACGACACGTAATTTCAATCACGTTTGTCGCATTATCGCCCCGTAACATGGCCCCGTAAATCTACGATGCTTCTCTAAAATCTATTTCGTGCTCTAATCATTTAATGAAACGAAAATTAGATATTCGGTACGAATAATTAATTACAAAATTATAATTTGCTTGGTTTCAATAATAATTTCCTAAGAAATGCTGGAACTGTAATTTATCCGAATAAAAATTACAAATTTTAATTCTTCAAACTTTTACTATTCACGATAATACCTATTTGTTTATAATTTTATTTTAATTATTTGAATATATATGATTTACACTGTGAGGCACCCCTAAAATACACAACTTTCAGATGGCGGACCATGGAGAGAGCCCCAGTTCTAATTCAACCTTATATCAGTCCACGAAGATATGAATAATAATTTAACTAAAAATTATAATCAAAGTACATGAAAATATTCATTTTGTATCCAATTATTCTTCCATCATTTAGAATTGAAAAAATTTTCACGACAGAAAACACTTAAACCCACACAACATCGCATAAAACGAAACAATAGGTTCGCCAAAATGTACGGATTGACTTCTCGATAATCCAACGCCTCTTCGATGATTTGCATGGCGACTTTAAAACGCTGTTCCCGTGTCAGGGGGGGTTGAGGGACAAAACCGATCCCTTCGAGGCTGGCTAAACGTTGCATTATTTATAGAAACCCCGCGAACGCCTAATCCCTGTCTGAGACGGTCTTCTGACTGCTTAAAACCGGCAGCGAAGGAAGTGACGTAACATGGTGGGCGCGTCAAAGTGTTAACGATTCGTCGACCCCGTCTTAGCTACGTTTTAACACCTTTTCTCCTGTTAACCGGAACTTGTAAGCATGCCTTTTGTTCGGGCTGAAATATTTCCGTGGGTGACTACGGCGATCGATCGCTCTGATTGGGGGTGATTCATGATGGATTAGGTGCAGATTGCATATTGTTGAAAAATATTAATTTGATTGTAAATAAAATTGTACGAGAAATTCTTATTTGTTTATTATGTTGAGTCATTTTTATCAAATCTTGAACTTCGAATTGAAGTAGAAGAGAATGAGGTTTTTGCGATCACTTATGACAAATTATTAATACATTCGGATTGGGCTAATTTTCACAAACTTAAACTGATTTTTTTTTTTCAAATATTTTAATTACAAGTAAAGTATATGTTAAGCTTTTGATTTTAAGTAAAATCATCAAAAACATTAGAAAAGTTACATAAGGGACACTGCAGGATTTAGAAAATGAATATAATATGAAATGGAAAATTAAATTGGGGCTTTCTCCATGGTCCGCTGTTTTAGAAGTTTCTACATTACGTATTTAATTAACACGTTGAATGCCATGTTTACTCGGTGAATGGGCTAAAGTGCTCATAGGTACGACTTTATTATTACTTCATGAGAATCAAAAAAGAAATTAACACGTTGAATGCTATGGGGGGTCATCAGTCACCGGAACCACAAATTACACATGTCTAATTAAAAGAAAACAACAAAAAAAATATTATTGATACAATATTGTAAAATAATGTAAATTATTTACAATATTGTAAAATAATGTAAATTATTTACAATATTGTTAAATAATGTAAAATAGCAAATAGAAGGCTTGAAATTTAAAATTTGAAAATTAATTATTCTTAATAATTAGAACTTCAATGCGTCCCACAGAAATACCCATTATCATTGTGGCATTTAATGTATTAATGGTTCAATGAAAGAAAAAAGTGACAATCCATGTGATCTGATTTGTGTAGGGTCATTTTATACCCACTATAATTTGTTACAAACACGAAGATGAATTATCTCCTGGAATTTTAATAATTATCGCGATCATCCTGCCTCGTTGTCCACGATGACTCCCTTACCATAAATGCTATTTTCTAGTACTTTTACGTCATGAAATTTAATTTGCAACAATCTCTTTATAATTTACGGTGTTTTTCGATTAACCACCCTCCCGTCTCGGTCGATTTTCTCCATCGCCATTAGAGGATTATCGAATTACCGAGGACGAAAAAGTTACGCTCGGCATGTTTCTGGAAAAAAGAAGCAAAAAGGGGAATTGAAATCACCGGTGCACGCGTTTAACGACGTCCCGGCGGTATTCGACGTCGAACGACACGAGCAAAATTAAACAGCGTCCGGAAAATTTTGCCATGAACTAGATGGGGTGTAAAATAGAGAGAAAATAAAAAAGGGAGCAAGCATTGCTTCTGTGTTTACCATGCAAAGTAATTCTATGCATTTTGAGGAGGCTCAGTTTATCAGCCGCTCGACTGACGAGCGACTCTTGTTTTCATAACGACCAACGAAAAGTCCTCGATGAAAAGGCGAAAATTGCAGAAAGCGACGGAAAAATAACCCGTTTAGTTGCGAACGTTCGACCACTTGATGACGAAGCTTCGAGTGGATTTACCAAAACAAAAGTTCTAAACACCGAGTGAAAGACTATACTGGAAAGAAAATAAACGTGATTTTCAAATAAAATAATAAATTAAACATTTAACCCTTTGTTGGACTCCAAAAAAAATAAAATACATTTGTAAACTCTTACCAATGATAACAATAAGAGAGTAACAGTAATTAAATTTTTACCTGTCTTAGAATGTATTAGAAAATGAAAATTTCTAATTGTGAATAAAATAAAAATTGTTTAAATTAAAAATTTGTAATCTTGTGCATTGCATCATAAGAGTTTCCTTAATTTTGTGATGGAGTGTCTGTAGTATAATTAAACCCCAATGTAAAATTTCAAATAAAATAGAAATTTTAAAAAATTGCAAATTTGTAATCTTGTATATTCTATACTGCATCACCAGTGTTTTCCTAATTTTGCAATGGAGTATATCTAGCATAATTAAATCTGAAATGTAAAATTACAAATAGAATAGAAATTTTTAAAAATTGCATTTTTGTAATCTTATGCATTCTGCATTGCATCACAAGTGTTTTCCTAATTTTATGATGAAATGTATATAGCATAATTAAACCCCAATGTAAAATTACAAATAAAATAAAAATTGTATTAAATTGCAAATGTTCTCCTAATTTTGTGATGAAATGCATATAGAGTGCATACTTGCAACAGAATGCAATAATGCATCTCGACGTCAAGAACGGTTAACGCTGCGGGCCGCAGGTGCAGCAGAACTTACCGATGACTTACTGATCATGACTTGATTTATATTCAATATCCAACGGGGTTAGTTACTCTCGGTGGCCACGTGCAATCACGTTCCATCGTGTAAACACACGAGGAACACACGATCGTACGCGTGTCTGTGCATTTAAGGACCAACACACATACCACCCTCTTAGCAAACTTGGTGATTGGCTCCTTGCGCAGAGCTAGTGTTTCCGGTTTGAGTAATGGTACGGTTGAGTTACTTGGATACGTAAGGAGGTTCTTGATAAATGACATCGATGATCTTGGATTTAATGACTGTATAAGAATATTGGATCATTTTAAATATTATGGATAATGTAGAGGAAATATTTCATAATGTAATGTGGCTCTATTAAGTAATTTTGAATTAATTCAAAGAGGGTGGTTTTTTATCAAATATAAATGCAAGAGATTAAACTGAAAATCATGAAGAATATATATAGGATATTTGATTTTTGACAATATAAACAACTGATATGAACAATATTGCAATTTTTTTGCAGTATTTTGCAATTATAATACAGATGTATTAAAAAGTAATAATAATCTCTTTTTCTGTCTAGAAAACCATGCTTTTATTACAATTAGAACTATTTTTAACTGTCAAAAATGAACTTTTGATCTTAAAAAAAATATATTTTGAATTATAGAAAATATAAACCATTTGAAAGTACTCGAAAAAATAAGATCAAATGTAAGAAATTGTAAATCACTCTCCTGTAAACTTGGTTTAAATTAATTACAATGTTGTTCATATCAGATGTCAATTTCATAATGCAATGTAGCTCTATCAGGTATTTTTAAATAAATTCAAAGAGGGTGGTTTCTCATAAAACCTAAATGCAGGGAATAAACCTAAAAAAATGAAGAACATATCAATTTTATAAGGGTTGATTTTACAGTACGATGCAATTCCATCGGAGGATTTGTAATAAATTCAAAAGGGTTGATTTTTAATAAAAGTAAGACAAAGTGTGGTCGTGGAATGGTAAAAAATAAAGGAACAGAGAAATCTTGAGGACAGTCCATTTCCAGAAACACTCGGGGTAAATAGACGCGACCCCATGATCGTATATCACCGTGGCGATAAGGGGGAAGTCCGCACAGTATGCATTATTTCGTCGTGTTGCAACTCGCGAGAGGGTGAGAAGAATAGGGTGGCAGTGCATTAACATATTCATACTTAATATTCCAGTCACAGCGTCGTGGCGACAACGTCCGCCCTCACGGATTTATATTGCTCTAATATACGCGATTACTTTCTCCCAGCCGAGTCGAGATCGGCCGGAAGTCACGATTGATTGCAACTTCCATCAGGCGTTTCGCCTTGACGCGCTTCAACTGCGTCTTTCAGACGAACTAGTTCAGTCGATCGAGTTATCCTAGTTAGTTTAGCAATCAATCAATATGAAAACTGAATATATTTATAAAACGATCATTTTTGAAACGTGCAAATATAATACAATTTAATGACATCAAAGAATTGTTAAATGTCATACTTATGGTCTTATGGTATATTAATTTAAAAATTGAAACTTGTTCAACAATAAAAAAATAAGTGGTATATAGATACAAATAAAATTTAATTCCAGAATTATAAAACTTGGCAATTTCAATAAATTTAACACCTTTGCTGCAGTGAAAATGGACATTTGTTATGAGACATATTGAATCTCTAATTATTAAAAATGAAAGTAGTTCATTTTTAATAATTTTTCAATTTGCTACCTTACATTATTAATATATTAGCAATACTATTCAGAGTAATATTTTTCTATTGTTTTCTTTTAATTATTTGAGTATGTGTAATTTACAAGGGTCACCAGTGACCCCCATGGCATTCAACGTGTCAAAAATGAAACCAACCTTCGAATAAAATTATACATATAATAATACAACAAAATAGAAAATTAAAATAAAAGAATATAAAGTAAAATGATACCCCTTAAAATAAAAACACCCTATAGAAGTTTGAGCCGGTCAAAAAAAAAAAGAATTGCAACCGGATATCTCAAGTTTCCATCGGTGTTTTAAAACGATTCGTTTCGAATCCCATCGTTGAAAGTGGTCAGTGTCCGTGGTGGATTTTTATGGGACCATGATCCCACATCGTATGCCCCGGAGGCTTGTGTTTCCACCCACATGCAGATCGATCGTTCGGACTCGCTTCATCATCCAACCTGGCTCGCTAACAATGGAACTTTGAAACAGAGATCATTAAAGGAGTCCTGCTTTATCTGTGATGTTCGTTGAAACTTTCGCTCGATTGACGAAGGAATTTTGATTAAGCCAATGATGAGAAATAGTAGGAAGGTGGTTGTACTTCTATGATTCGTATCTTTTTGCACTGACACGTTCCATGGTTAACCTTTAGACGGCGGACCATGAAGAGAGTCCCAATTTCAATTCAATATTATATTTTATATTATTAAAAATAGCGAAAAATATAAAATACCTTGCATTTTAAATTCTTTTTTTTAACTCTCAGACGACGGACCATGGAGAGATTCTCAATTTCAATTCAATTTTATATTTTATATTATTAAAAATAACGAAAAATATAAAATACTTTGCATTTTAAATTCTTTTTTTTAACTCTCAGACGACGGACCATGGAGAGTGCCCCAGTTTTAATTTTCTAAATTTTATACTATTTCCTTAATAATTATTTTTTTAATACATGAAACCCGCTCATTAAAAAATTATACATTTAATTTTATATTAATATCTTTATTTAAGTCACAATTGACCCAGGCTCCGCCATCCAAGGGTTAATTAGATAACTTTTGCTTAATTTTAAATAACTGTAGATATGTTCCGAATTTGGGATTTTAAAGGCAATTCTAAGAAACGGGAAATTATCGAGCGTCTATTTAGGCAAGAGTAATAAGCATACGATCTACCTGACAGGGAATTAGCGAACGCATTCCGTAATGAAACGTAAGATAAACAGGAAATATTTGTATTACGTTGAGATGTTGTGCTGCGATAAATTACAATTAAGAGTTGCTTCAACACGAGTTCAATATGCTTGAACAACTCGAAAGTTCGAAGTGAGTTCGAGCGTGCTCGAGTTATAGCTTGTTTCAATAAATTCTTACGAGGGTTCTTCAAAGTTGCCACGCTAAAATTAATCACATCCTCCAGGGACAACTAATTTCATAATTCACGAGCGCCCTAAAGGAGCGCGAATGTATAGGTGAACATAAGATAAAGTCAATTTAAACTTCTCGACCGACATTATGAATTTTTTATACCATTTCTAGCGACTTTCTAAACTAATACGTTAATGAACATATATTTTATTATTCGTGAAATTTTGAATTAAAAAAAATCTACGTTTCTCAATAATCTAATTATTTACTTGCGATTGAATTCATAAAATAAAAATAAAATAATTAATAAAATATTAAAAATTAAATAGTAATTAAATTTGTCACTAAAGTTAGAAACTTTTGAGAGGTAAAATTAATCCTCGGACGACGGACCATGGAGAGAGCCACAATGTTAATTTGTTTCACAATTAACCCAGGCTCCGCCTTTCAAGTGTTAATGAAATTAATTTTGAAATTTATTAAAACAAAAAAGCGTCGCTTACGTTGTGTAATTTAATAGACGGACATTTTTGAACGATTCTATAGTACATGTTTTGCGCTTGTAATACATGTTACAAATTCCCAGCCATCGGAGGAAATATTTAGCTCGACGACGCTTACACGTTGTAAAAATACGAATACAAGGTATAATAATCGTTGAATTTTCATACCAGCTGCCTGTCTATGCCTGCAATCATGCTAAACGGTGCATGTAAACCGAGAGCCGATAAAAAATTTCACCAGACTCCTGAACGTTCTTTGGTCAATTTCTCGTGACAACATGTTGCTCATACATTTCAATGAGAACTCTCTAACGGGTGTTACAAAAGTGAGGATCATTGATTTATCATCAGTAGAAATTGATGATTGCTCTAACGCAAGAGGGCTCAAAATTAATAAATAACTCTGCCATTTTGCAATATTTCTAGTTTAAAAAATTAGAGAATAAAGTCGAGAGTTATATATTAGTATATAATAGTATAGAGTTAATTTTGTATGAAACTTACCTAATCAATATTTCTGTTTCAGCAAAATAATTGAACAGATTATTAATTGAAAATATTTCAAATTTTATATAATTTTTTTTTTCTTGTTTGCTTTACAGAACCGATATGGAAGCTGTGTCAGGGGCGAAAAGTGGCACCCTAAAATTCATACGGACCTTATCGAATATATCCAAAGATGCTGGTGGAGTCGCTCACATGCGATGCGAGGTTGTTGGCGATCCTCCGCCAACGAAAATTAAATGGTTCAAAAATGAAGCACCCGTTGAAGAGAAACGACCGAAAATTACTATCAAAAAGATACATGCACAGGTAACGTCACCAAATTGCTATTTTTTACTTTGCTAGTAGGAAAGTTTCAAGAGTATCTTTTGTTTTTTCATAAATATAAATGGTTTTGTTACTAACGATAAGGCACACGAGCATGCAGCGAAAAACATCGCCGGAAGTCGCTTAAAAATCATCAACTTGGACGTAGGGGATATGGGATTCTACACTTGTCGAGTTACTAATGGAAAGGATCAGATACAAAGCGAGGGAATACTTCGAGTTGATTCGTCCAAAAGCATACATGGTGAGTGAAATACGTTTTCAATTATAAAAGTAGTCATTTTCCATGCTACATTTACTGTCCTATAAATATAATATTCACTTTTGAATATAGATTATTTATTACTGAGAAAAATGAAATAATTCCAAAACAAAAAATAATTAAAAATAAAAATTTTAAGATTTTCTTAATGTAATTTGACAAGATTAATAATTTTCTTGTGAGAAATATATTTGCAATTATAAAGATGTAATTTCCCATCCTAAATTTACTGTCCTATAAATATAATATTCACTTTTGAATGTAGATTATTTATTACTCAGAAAAATCAAATAATTCCGAAACAAGAAATAATTTAAAATAAAAATTTTATGATTCTCTTAATGTAATTTGACAAGATTAATAATTTTCTTGTGAGAAATCGAAAAAGAATAAAGGATAAAAATGAAATAAAGACACGTAGGTCATAAAAATCGTTCTTCTACGTGAAAGTAAGTGGAAACGTCATTCCTTCATGGTGGTATTCGAATTAAGACGACGAGAAAACACGTCCGGATCTTGGCCAAGTGTCCTCGATGTCGAGGAAAAGCTTTTCCTGATCCGAGGAGGAGACGAACGAAATATAGGAAGCTTTAGCGAGAGATCGTAAAACTGTCAATTCGACTCATCGAAATTCCCCTTTGACGTCTGTTCCCCAGGAACGTGAGGAGAAATTGATTCCCTCCGGTGGTGTGATTCTCCTCGGGGAGAGAAAAGGAAAGCTACTAACATTTCTACTCTCACAATTTTACTCTACACTAGTTACAATAGAACCACTTGAAATATCATTTTATAAATAACGTATACAATTGTTGACCCTTTGGAATATAATATAATACATTTCTTGATCCTTTGACGGCGGACCATGGAGAGAGCTACAATTTTAATTTAATTTCGTATTTCATATTATTTTCATTTTCTAAATTTTACACTATCCCTTTAAGAAGGGATAAAGCTCTCAAAACTGCGGACCATGTAGAGAGTCCTAAAACGGCGGACCATGAAGAAAGTCCTAATTCTATTTTTTAAATTTCACACTGTCTCTTTAAAAATTACTGTTCCAATATATGAAACTCTTTCTTTAAAAAGTTATAAATTTATGCACACTAGAGAAGCATTTCCCTGTGACGAGTAATTAGTCATTCTTAGTTGAAAGGTTAAATGATGCAAAAAAAATTGCAAGTTCCATTTATATCCAACGGAGAAAAGGAAAGGAAAGTATGAAGAAAAAAGATTCTGGTAAAAAAAGGAAGGGAACGTTGAGACGCGTATTAAACCCGATGCCAGGGCTAATTCACCCCCATCCCCCTGACCCACGTCGTTCCTCATAAGTCGGTATTCAGCCGGAAAGTTTTCAGCGTGTCTCGACGCGGAATTTCGTGCGAGAAACTTTCTCAAAAAGCTCTTGTGCCCGTCGGCGATGAAACAAAACTGACAGCGTTCCTCTGACGAAGTTACCGGGCGACACCCCTAACAAATTCTAATCTAATCGGGTCCGATGCGCGAAGAAAACCCTCCCCTCGTTCCCCATTTCGTCCACCGATGGCCAGCCCCTCGACGACCCTTCGCAACGAGCAACTTTAATATTAGCACTCTGCAAGTCAAACTCACCCCTCTACCAAGGATTTCAAACTTCTTTTCATCCCTCTCTCTTTTCTCCCTTTTGGGGGTTGATGGAACGAGGATTCGAAGAAGATCAAGATGGTCGAATTGAAAATTTCGAGATAGATTTTCATTTTGGAGAAGAATTTAACCCTTGAAAGAAATTCTACAAATAATTATTATAGTGGTTGTAACCACTATTTAAAGTTATTAAATTTATTATTATTTATTAAGTACATATTTATTCATATGCAATTAATATATAAATTTTGAACAGTGGAGCCTCGTGGCTCTCTCCATGGTCCGCCGTCTTTAGGCTCTCTCCCTGGTCCGTCCTTCGAGGGATAATTAAATCAATCATACGTGAAAGAAATTTGGAAACAGAATATATTGAAGAGTAATTATCATTCTACTCCTAATGAATTAATTACCTTGCGAAATAAATTCTTTCCATGGCAAATGGAAAACGATATCTACACGAACGGCTACGATTTATTTCCTACAATTTCGTCGCCCGTTCACGAAACATGATCAACATGGCTCATAGTCTCTTTCCCATCCTGTCCTGTGATGTTTAATTTCAGGGGTGAGAAGTCGAGTTAATTAACACGGTGCTCAATTATTCAGGGCAGGCGTAATAAGCCGTGTCGAAACTGTTTGCCGGCAGTACACGATTGGAACGAGTTTGCCAGCCTAACGGGGCTTTTACGGGAAGGTGTTGTTTTCGGGGATGATGTTGACCCATCTAAGCGGCGTGGAACTTAATGATTCGTGAAGTAACACCCTGACACCGCAAAGGGTTTAAACAGAAGTAGATAAACCTCGTTAAATATTAAATTTACTTATCGGAAACCTATTAACCCTTTCCCCTATAATCGTTCGTTTTACCGAAACGCGAATAAAATTTAAATTTGCAATGGGAGATATTTTCTTCTTTTTTTTTTTCTGAGAAACTGAATTTATAATAGGACGGTGATATTTGAATAACGAGACAAGCAACCCTTTAACATAAACGATTTTCATCTTTTCCACCTTTGTGGAAAGCTTCGCAGCTATTAGACCGGGTACTTGGCGACTTTTTTTCCAGCTCGCAACAACGAAAGGATGAAGGGAGGAGAGAAAATTGAGGAAGGTAAATGGCTGCACTAAAAGGACGTCTGACCCCCCACCTTCCTAATTCACTTATCCATGTTGCCCTCGGGTTTTTAACGAACAGCCTGAACACTTAGTTATCCCTGAAACTCTGTCAGCCAGGTGCTAGTGTTTACTTAATCTCTTATAAGACTTTCCTCGAACCGACGAATTTTCACTAAAATATGCAATTGTTGAGAATAAAATCGTCAATTTTTAAGATATTTTAATTTAACCCTTCCAGGTGAATAAAAGTCACGCCATAAATCATGTGGGATTAGTTTCACCCCCAAAATGATTTATTTACAAATATATTATTTAAATAAAAATGCAACGATTTATTTAAAAATTCCAACGTAAGAATTTATCAATTTTTTATACAGAACAGTTTTAAAACCGCTGGGGTTAATTGAACTCCGCATGGTTCGCGGAGGGTTGAATTTTATATTTGCGAGAATAATTGGTGCTAACATCTTGAACGGAAGAAGAACAATCGTAAAAGGATATTCAACGGTATTTGATAGGTCGTATTTCCGGTTGATTCGATTAATTCACAATTACACCGGCCCCGGGTTGATATCGACTGATTGTCGGATCCTCTTTCGCTTCGCTGAGCCTTATTACGCCTTCGTCGCGGCCGAATTTTAATTAATTCCAGAATTATTAATCTACGCGACCAGCTGGCAACTTTGATCCGCCTATTTTGCGGAAATAATTGAAAAAGTTTCCGTGAAAAGCTGACCGTGCTGGGGACAATTTGATGGTCATCCTTTTTACGATGATCGATCCGATTGAGGAATTATTGGAATTATTTTTATGGTGAAACAATAGATTCAAGAAGCCAATGGACATTGTTAATTCCTTCGAAAAAATTTCATTTTCAATTATGAGAAAAGAACGAAGCTATCTATCGTCAGAAATTGGAACTGTTGCATAGGTGCATCGATGCATCTGCAAAATACAAATGCACTTTTTTCTACCAATGCAATTGCATATTTTTGTTTATATAAATCTGTTCTTTGAAAGGATACAATGTCACTAAAATCAATAATAAAGAGAAAAATGTGCAACAGTATTTAAAGAAAAAGTGCAGCTGCATTTCTTAAGTGCATCATTGCACGTAAGAATGAAACCTTATAACATTCAATCTCTTCCTGTCTTTGGCGAAATTTGAATGCTGAAAATCATTATTTTAATTATGAAAAAAGTGCTTCGATGCATCGACAGGATGAAAATGAAAACAAAATGTGCAGTTGCATTTCTTGAATGCATCATTGCACTTTAGAATAAAACCTTATAACTTTCAATCTCTTTCTGTCCTTGACAGAATTTGAATACTGAAAATCATCATAGTTATGACAAAAGGGCACCGATGCATCCTTAGAATGCAGCTGCACTTTTTCCTATCAATGCAATTGCATATTTTCGTTTACATAGATCGATTCTTTGAAAAATTAGTCATAAAGAAAAAAATATGCAGTTATATTTAAGGAAAAAGTGCAGGTGCATTTAAGAAGTGCAGTTGCATTTCTTAAGAGCAATGATGCACTTAAGAATAAAACTTTCCAACGTTCAATCTTTTTCTACTTCTAACAAAATTTGAATATTGAGAATCATCATCTTAATTATGAAAAAAATGCATCGATGCATACACAGGATGCAACTGCACTTTTTCTTACCAATTCAATTGCATATTTTTATATACATAGATCGATTCTATAAAAGGATACAACGTCACAAAAATCAATAATGAAAAAAAATATGCAGTTGTGTTTAAGGAAAAAGTGCAGTTGCATTTCTTAGGTGCATCCTTGCACTTGAGAATAAAACTTTGTAATATTCAATCTTTTTCTACCTCTAACAGAATTTGAATACTGAAAATCATCATCATAACTATGAAAAAAGAAAAATTCTATTAAAATAAAAGCATAATATAACAAACAACAAAATAACCCAGGCGTAGGGAAGGTAACGAGAGGGAACAGCCAAGTTTGCTGATAAATTCGTTAACAAATTTCGAGGCGTATAATTAGAGACGGCTCGTCTGGCGTATCATTAAACCAAGATACCTCTCGTTAAGCACGTCCACGATGAAACTGAAGCTTCAAGCTTGGAGGCTTGCGCACCAGCTAACTTTCGCATCAAGTTGAAACCTTGCCCCGGGCTGAAAAGCGTCTTCGAGGCAGGCGTGACCGAGCCCGTCGATTCAAGATAAGCTCGATCATTCTCCTCTGGCTGGTGTTTAGAATTTC